TCCTCATCCTCTCCTCCCTTCCCTCTTCCCTCCCCCTGCCCCCCTCCTCTTTTCCTCCCCACCCTTCCATCCTCCTACCTTCCCTTTTTCCCATCCCCCTACCCCTTCCCTTCCCCTTCCCCTTCCCTGCCCTACCCTCCTCCCTCCTCCTCCTCCTCAATCCTCTCCCTCCCCTCCTCCTCCTTCCCTTTTTTCCCTCCCCCTTCCCCCTTCCTCTTCCCCCTCCCCCTCCCCTTCCCTCTTCCCCTTCCCTCCTCTTTCCATTCCCCCTCCTCGCTTTTCCCCTCCCCCCTTTCCCCCTCCCCTCCTCCCCCCCCCCCCCCCACAGAAAAAGGCCTCCTCTCTCCTTTCACTCGAAACCTCGAAGCTGTGTTACAAGAAGATCAAGGAGCTGCTCGAGCGAACCGGCCGCGTTGAGATGACGGCGGACTGCAACATGAACCTGACCAACGGGAACAAGGCAGCGTGTGAGGGACGCGTTGGTGTTGAGGGGATGGGTTAGGGAAGTGGGAATGGGTTGAGAGAGTGGGGAATAGACTGTTTTTTTGTGGTGTTGGATGCTTATTTTTTGTTTTGAGATGTTTGGGGAGAGAGAGAGTGAGTGTGTGAGGGACGAGTTGGTGTTGAGGGAATGGGTTGAGAGAGTGGGGAATAGACTGTTTTTTGTGGTGTTGGATGGCTATTCTTGTTTTGAGATATTGGGGAAGAGAGAGAGTGAGAGAGAGAGAGAGAATGTGTGTGTGTGTGTGTGTTGTGTGTGTGTGAGTGTGTGAGTGAGTGAGTGAGTGAGTGTGTGTGTGAGTGTGTGAGTGAGTGAGTGAGTGTGTGTGTGTGGGGGGGGGGGGGTGTTGGATGCTTATTCTTGTTTTGAAATATTGGGAAAGATTTATTTTATTCTATTTTTTGTGGTGTTGGATACTTATTCTTGTTTTGAAATATTGGAAAATGATTGTTTTTTGTGGTTGTGGATGATTATTCTTGTTTTATAATATTGGAAAAAAAATTGGGGGGGGTGGTCTTGGATGCTTAATTTTGTTTGGTTATTGTTATCAGTGATAATTATTGTTTGGGATTTTTTAAATAGTTTTTTTGTGGTGCTGAACTATGATTTGAAAATATATAAAAATAGCTTTGTGGTGTTGAATAATTACGATTTTTTTAGATTATCGTTATTAATAACTGTTAGTGTTTGGGATTTTTTTTGTGTGTGTGTATGTTGATGTAATGGATGAAGGCGGTAATATTTTGTTTCACAATAACGTGGATGAATGAATGGTTATTTTTTCAGCGACGTGAATGAATGGTTTTATGTTTTTACTATTATTGTTTTCTATTTTATTTTTCAGTAGTATGTCGGATGAAGGCGATAAATTTTTTGTTTCGGAGTGACGTGGATTTTTTTTTCTGTCAGTTGGATGAGAATTTTAATTCTAGAATGGAGTAACTGAAAAATTTCGTTTCGCAGTGACGTGAATGAGAGAGAGAGAGGGAGAGGGCGAGCGAGAGGGAAAAAAAAAAAAAAAAAAAAAAAAAAAAAAATATATATATATATATATATATATATATATATATATATATATATATATATATATTTATATATATATATATATATTTATATATATATATAATATATATATATATATATATATATATATATATATATATATATATAATAGAGAGAGAGAGAGAGAGAGAGAGAGAGAGAGAGAGAGAGAGAGAGAGAGAGAGAGATAGGGAGAGCAAGAAAAAACGGGAACGATCAAGCAAGAGAAAGCGAGAGAAAGAAAGAAAAAAAAGAAAAAAAAGCCACTAACCCCCCCTCCCCCCTTACCGTGCCAGGTATGGACAAGACCCTGGACCTGTACCTGACGCCCCTCGCCCTCAGAGGCACAGTGAACGTCAGCTGGAACACCGTCTTCATTAACGACGACGACAGGATGCTGACGGGGTACTACATCTTCTACAAGGTCGCCTACGAGGAGAACGTCACCTACTTGGATGGTCGGGATGCCTGCCATGAGTAAGTGAGAGGAGGAGGAGGAAAGAGGAGGGGTAAGAGAAGGAGGTGGAGGAGGAGGAGGAGGAGGAGGAAGAGGGGAAAGAGAAGAAGGTGGAGGAGGAAGAGAAGGAGGAGGAGGGGAAGAGAAGGAGGTGGAGGAGAGGAGGTAGAGAAGGAAGGAGGAGGAGAAGGAGGAGAAAGAGGGGAAATGGGAGGAAGATGGGGAGGGAGGGGGAGTGGGGCCGGATTTATGAATGAGGTGGCGTGAGTGAGTAGGTAGAAAGGGTGGATTTATGAATGGGGTGGCGTGAGTGAGTGATTAGGTGAGTGACGAGTTGATGAGTGAGACAGGTAAGTGGGGAGAGAGAGTCGACAGAGAAGCGTGAGTGAATGAGTGAGATAGAGGGAAATGGGGAAAATGAGAGTTAGGAAGAGCGTGAACTGGAAAGATGGACGGATTAAGATGATGAATGAGTTAAAAATCGATGAGTTAATGAGTTGGTGAATTAGAGAGAATGAGTGGGTGAATGAGGTAGAGAGAATGAGTGAAGGGGTAATGTAGAGAGAATGAGTAAAGGAGTAGGTTAATTAGAGAGAATGGGTGAGACACATAAGATGAGTAAGACAGGGCTAGTGAGTGAATAAAGGAGATAGAGATAGTGATTGAGTCAGTGAATAAGTAAGTGATTAAAGAAACA